AAACTGAAAACCATAAGCACGAAGCTTAGTGAGTTCCCCATACTACCACATACCATACACATAATCACATATAATAGGCCCCCGATCCTTCATCGGGCCCCGCCCGACATCAGGCACTACCTGGCATCAAGCCCCGCCTAGCATTAAGCCCCGCTCGGTATACATATCTGTTTATCCCAGGCCTCTCCTATCTTTGGGCCTCGCCTGCTATACAAATACAATCAAAATCACATAATCATGCTAGCACATAAAGAAAACATACGCAATACTATAAGTTCTAGTCCTAAGGCCTCGCCTATCATGAGCCTTGCCCATACTCTGCTAATGATGAGATATGGAGCCCCGTCCACACTCAGCTAGTAATGTGATACAAGACCCTACCAACAACCACTTCCCTAACCAGGCACATACAAGTATCACACATACAACAAGCATAACAAAACATGCGTACATTTATCGGGTACTACCCGACATCGAACCGTAGTCCGGAAACATACATATAAGCATTCCTTGGGCACCACCCCGCATTGAACTGTAGTCTGGAACCATACATCTAAGCATTCCTCGAGAACCACCCGACATCGAACCGTAGTCCGGAAACATACATATAAGCATTCCTCGGGCCCCGCCCGACATCAGACTGTAATCCGGAAAGCATACAAAAATTCGTCGGGCACCGCCCGACGTCGGACCTGTTGGATTAGTGTCTAAGCCCGTAACCATATTTGGTAAGTACTTGACCCGGTTGTGCATGGTCCTTTTGGATTGCCTTCACCAAAGCAACTTGACTAGAGAAATAAATAGAGAAAGAGGTTATTATGATTTATTAATATGTTATAAGAATAATATATTAAAGGAGAAATCATATTTGTTTAATTAATATTGGTCAATAACTAATTAGGAATTAATTTTGTGATCAAGTGTAATTAATTAAACTAGAGGGGCTGAATTGCAATTATGTGATAGTTGCAAAATAGGGCTATGGTTATCCTTGTTAAAGGTTGGATGAATTCAAGGGATAGGATATCCTTGAAATCTTCCAAAGGTCCAAGAGATAAGGGTTATCAAGGCTTATCTTATGATTGCTTGGTGGGCAAGCAACTAGATAAGGATAAGGACTGAAACCTTAATCTCTACCCTATATAAAGACCCCTAAGGCATAAGAAATCGTCCACTTGATCCCTAGGGTATCTAGAGCCGATTTCTACCTCCTCATTTCTCTCTCTATAGCCTCTCCAATTGCTTGTGGTGTTTGTGAGCCATTAGAGGCACTACACTTGTGGTGCTTGCTTTCAAGACTTAGGGTTTGACGATTTAAGTTGTTATTGCAATATAACAACAAGAGGTATGTGATTTAACCTTCTATGTGATTTTCGAAAATAGTAGGCTACATTAGGGTTTTATCCATGTGTTCATAATGTGTGTATCTAATAGTGAAAACATAAATCCAAATTAGGGTTGTATGCACACGTAGGATTGTTTGTATAAATCCCATCAGTGGTATCAGAGCCTTTGGTTAACTTGTTTTCAATTAGTATTATATAATTGTATGAACTTGACAAATTAGGGTTTATAGCCAATAAACCCTAGGAGGCAAGAAATTTAGATATTAGGGTTTCCTAACCCTAATTTGCGAAAATTATGAAAAGGATTCAAAAAAAAAACCCTAAGATTTCGAGATTAGCCTCCTTCACCAAGATAAGATCCTAAATTTTAGGGATTTAGATAATCCTATATCTTGTAATTATATTTTAATGGTTAAATATGGTAATTAAAGATTTTGAATTATCCCATCCCCTTATTTTCGAAATTTAGAGGGATTAAGGGATTAGGATAAGTTATTTGTTTAAATGGTAATTATCCTTATGATTTAGATAATCCCTTATGATTTGATAATTTAAATTAATAGTTTAAGATAATTATTAAATCAATAGTTTTAATATTTAAAATTTTAATTTAAATGGTATTAAATTCGAAAATTTTAAATTGAAAATTAAAACCCTAGTATTTTGAAATGTTTAAAATACACCCTATACTATTATATTATTACAAGCTTAATGAATATATATGTATAATTAAAATGCTAGTCTTACCCTTAGTAGGCCTCATTCACGAAGCCAGTCTATAAGGTGGGTATAAGGTTCATGCCTATAAAATAACGTTTAATGGGTGTACACTCACACCCACCGCTTGCTTGACTGGTGGAGGGTCGTTAGCCGAACGGGTAGGATAGGGCAATCCTCTCTTCATTAATAAATATAATGAATCTATATAAAGTAACTAAACATTTTTACAAATTCCCAATCCTAGTTACTTTAGGCAAAATTGAATTGATGCAATCCCATGAAATTACACTTTGCACCCTTGCTAAGAAGTTAGTGGAGTGTGTGTAGTTTACCGGCACACTAATTGGTTCTAAGCAAAGGTGGCAAGGGGTGATTCATTGTTTGTCATGGTTCGATTGAGCGTGTGTGGTTAACGGCACATCGAATATGTGATTGTAACAATGAAGGCACCATGTAGATTTGCATGGTTATTCACACCCACTTTGTGATCCTCGGCGTCCCAGTCACAAACGAGAAGGGCATATCGAGATTTAAACATGCCATTGAAAAGTTCAATGAATCTCCAAGAAAATCTAGGAATTCTCAATACATTTAAAACTTAAGCTTATGTTTTTCATGGTGAAGAATTAGTGAATCGTCATTCACTTATCTCCAAATTATTTGCGTGTTGGATTATGGCATCCCTTTTCTAATATGTAAATAATGTTGTTGGATCCTAGCCCTAAATTTTCATTTTGGGTGTTTAATTAGGGATTCAATTCTAATCAAACTTTGTCCTTTCTATTTGTAGATGGCTAACACGAACAACGTTGCTGCTAACTCATTCACGCTAATGAGTCTTTGTCAAAAAGTGACTTTTGATGGATCGAACTTTAGCGAATGGATAAGATACATTCGCATGATTGCGCGCTACGAGGACAAAGAGTATATCCTCGATGAGAAGCTCGAGAAGATCAATCCAGAAGTCGCTACTCCCGAGGAAATGGCTAGAAGTGGTATCATCTTGTTCTATTTAACCTTTGGCTCGTGGGAGTTATACTTAAACTCAAGCTTAAAATCTTGGTCACTTTCACTTGATACTTCTTCATCAGACCCATATACCTCATCAGGCCCGCTTCTTTGTCGAATTAAGTCAAAGTGATCTTTGTTCGCCACCACATCATATTCATTTAAGCCAACATGTAACGCTTGGTTTCGGTATAAGTTTAATTCTCCAATTATATATATATTATATATATATATATATATATTATATATATATAATATATATATATATATATATATATATATATATATATATTATATATATAATATATATATATATATATATATATATATATATATATATATATATATACCAATTGGTTTTTGTGAACATCCCAAATATGGAGTTTGATTAATTAGGAAAGTCTATGCCATAAAGGCACCACATGGACCAATCATCACTTTCCACTTTAATTATCTTGCACTCGTCTAATATTAATTTCTTGACATCAAAAATTACCTGCCATTTGTATGCCTTTCTTTCTCTCTATATATATACTTATTTGGTTTACCATCGCAAAACACTGAAATCTACCTCATCGACATAAATTCAAATCATCAAACTCGATTATGGATATCTTCTATGGTTCCCTCCTCTCTCTCCTTGTTATTGTGATCTCATGCTCACTTTGTTTTGCTTTCTTTAAGCCAGCTGCAGATGGAAAACTCCCACCTGGCAGAAGAGGGTGGCCAGTGATCGGAGAAACTATAGAGTTTGTCACCACCGGCTTGAAGGGTCACCCTGAAAAGTTTATCTTAGATCGCATGACTAAGTTCTCGCATCACGTTTTCAGGACCTCTCTAATTCTACAGGATGTGGTCGTGTTTTGTGGGCAGGAGGGTAACAAGTTCTTGTTCACAAATGAAAACAAACTTGTTCTGCAATGGTTGCCACCTTCGGTTGGAAAGATCCTCCCTTTTTCTGACCATAACAGGACGAAGGCAAAGATGGTTCGAAAATACTTCAAGCCTGAAGCTCTACGACAATATGTCCCAGTTATGGACAAGGTGACACAGAAACATTTTCAAACCGAATGGGAAGGTAACGACCAGATTATGACCCAAAAACTCATAAAAAACTTCACTTTTTTGCTTGCATGCAAAATTTTCTTCAGTATTGATGATCCAGAATGGGCCAAAACCCTATCTGGCCCATTCGAAAAGCTGGCTCCTGGAATTTTCTCCATCCCCATAAACCTCCCTGGAACACCGCTACGTAAAGCAATAAATGCAGCCACCTTCCTCAGAAAAGAACTCACTGCAATAGTAAAGAGAAGAAAGATTGATTTGGCTGATGGGAAAGCTTCGCCTATACAAGACATTTTATCGTTGTTTCTGTGTGACGAGGAGGCCAAATCCATGCCAGAAATTGAAGTCGCTGATCTTATTGTTGGGTTGTTGATCGGCGGCCAGGACAGTTCAAGCTCAACATGTGCAGTCATTGTTGAATATCTCGCCGAGTTGCCCGAGATTTACGAGGGTGTCTACAAAGGTATTAATATTAAGCTGAATATTCTTTTGTTAATTTCTACTAATTAAACGTTATTTTCTCAAAAGAAAATACAGACATCCTTTCTGGTGTTTGATATTGAATTTTGAACCTATAAACATACATTACATGTGATTTAACATTTAATAGGATGAAGAAATCTTTGATGAGAACTATAGGCTATAAAAATTTCATTATATTTGTATATGTCGACAAAGTTTGACATTAGAAAGTTAGTGATTTAATATTTTTTTAATCTTGATCCGAAATATATATATATATATATATATATATATATATATATATATATATATATATATATATATATATATAATATATACAAAGACATTTACATTTTAATGTTTTTGTCTCACACAATTATGATGTTGATTTTGCTAGTTTAAATTTATAAAAGAACAAAAGTTAACTTTTACATGTCTGGTTATCAATTGTCCTGAAATATAAAAGAAACATTTACATGTTAGTTTTGTGAAATATCTTATAAAAATTAAAATAACAGAGGGAGACATTTCAAAATGAACTTTACAACTAAAATAAT